CACACACACACACACACACACACACACACACACACACACACACACACACACACACACACACACACACTTTAGTTAACTAAAGTTAGAACATGACTTGACAATATTTAATAAGTCTGGAATATCTAATTTCATAACACATCTATAAACTTGTACAGATAATGTATTATTCATTGAAACATCTAATATTTGTACTACATACCAGATGGTCCAGCTAGATTCTCTGACTGTGCATTCCTTCTCTCCTTCAGTTTCATGTGCACTGTCTTCTTTCTCTCTCTCTCTGACTCTGAAAACTTCTCTTCTTCACCACTTTATGCTGACATCACTTTCCTCATTTTCTTCACCTGTTGCACTTTCAGTGGGCTTCTTCACCTGTGACCCTCCTAGTCTCTGTCTTCATTTCTCATCTCTGTCTCTCTTCTTCCTTCTCATCCCTTGCTTTTTTTGCAAAAAAAAATAACTGTCAATATCTCTACTATTAAATTTCTTTTTCATTTTGGTCTGCAATGTGCAAGCATCAATTTTTTTTTTAAATTAGCTCTTTATTATCATAGCTTATCATATCTTTATCATTGCAGCTTATTTACTTTCTTGATCTGACAAAACAAATGTAATGTGATTTAATTGTGCCTCATTGCCATGATATTGATCAAATAAAGGCATCAGCCCCTAAAAAGCAAACATGAAACCTTATTTTTACATCTCAACTTTTCATTAACTGTTACTGTGCTTATTGTAAACAAAACTAACAATGGAAATAAGCTAACGCTAAGTCAATGTTGTCATTACACCGTGAACGTCGGACACTTTAGCAGATATTTAATTCATTGCAAACTTAAATTTACTGTTGTGTGTTAAAACATCAGCAAGAGAAACTTACTTTAACTGCAGAAAGTTGGAAGCTCAGTGACTCCACTCTGCAGCAGACTGCCTCATCAATGTGACACATGTTCTGCCTGTGGAGCAGCAGGCAGTGTTTGGAGCAGAGCCATAACTAAACTTTTCAGGGACCTCGGATTATATTTAAAATTATATATTTTTGGTAAATAAATGCTTATTTTAAAGGTTGCAATGGACCTTTGGACTAAAAAACGGTTAGTAATTACAAATATTTGAGAAACATAAAAGTAGGGGGGCTACTGCGGGGGCAAGGCTCTAAAACACGGGGCAATGGGACACCCCCCCACCACCACCACCACCACTACCATGCCCTGCTGTAGATCCGCCCCGTATGGGTGTCACAAAAGCAGTTTTACATTTATCTTCTTCTTTAACCTCCACTTGATAATAGCCGGATTTCAAATCCAGAATGGAGAACCACTTAGACCCAGTTGAAGTGCTTAACGGTACAATGACAAAGTAAAGCAATCTGAATCTGAATGAAGGCTTTTATTTAACCAAGCTGTTCTCTTTATTGTTGCTGTTGCTTAAGTATTGCTTATTAAAAAAATCAAGAAAAAAAAACCCAAATAATAAAACAAACCAACTAGAATCAGGAGATGAGATGTTAAAATAGAGAAGAAGAAAAAAGCAATATAAACACAATATAACAAAGTAATGTAGAAAAGATGAAGAAAGAACTAAGATAGGGAAAGAGTGAGACGAGAAAAGAAGCTTAAAGAAGCAGAAAAAGTATTAGAAATGAAATATGCAGAGTAAAGCTGCAGAGATTAGAGGAGGAGAAAAGGAGATGATAAGATGAGGAAGAGGAAGAATGAAGAGGCAGAAAGCAGTAACAGGAAAGAAAAATGTCACAATTTCAAACAAACTATCTTTAAGTTGCACCTGTAAGAGTCAGTAGCTCAGTATGAGAACAAAGTCGGTCTCATGTCAAACTCGTCTTTCTGTGGTGTTTGTAGGGTTTCAGGGTTGGACTCAGCTGATTCAACATGACACAGAATCTATTTCTCAATAACTATCTGGATTCAACAGTTGTGAAAATTATTAATTTTTTTAATTTCCAAATCTGCAAATTGTGATGTCACTTGTCACAGCACAGTTGTCACAGTGAATGAGTGAGCAACCAGTTCAAACACATTACAGGACACTCAGGTCACACATTTAGATTCTACCCCTTTGTCCAGATAAAAGGATATCAGTCAGTCTTGATAAACTACAATGATATAAAAGTTGGTCCAGAGAAAGGACCCAATTAAAAAATAACAACAAAAAAATTTGTTGGAGTACATGCTGCTGATTTATTTGCAGCTGTATATTATTTGCCATGTTTATCCAAAGATTGGATGGCAAGAAAAGAAAAAAAAAAACAACAACAATGGTACAACTGTCCTTGGCTTGGTGTGTTTGTTGAAGAGATTCCCTGTCCTAGATTACTGCATTTTGTGCATCTTTGCTCAGCAACCTAAATGCCTTCCCAGTCGTCTTTACAGCTCCTGTTACATAATGGAAAGTCTCCAGTTCCACATACACAACTCTAAGTTTCTTCTCTGATATCAAACCAAGCTCATGGTTTTATCGAAACACATGGAGACAAACAAGCACAAACACCTGCACTCATTGCAGAGCAAGTGTGGCAATTGTATGTTTGTAAAATTTACAAAAACATATTTAAATTATAATTTCAAACTTTAAAATATTATCAGAAATAAAACAATGTGAAAAGGTCACTATAAAAAAAGATATGACCTAAAGTTCAACAATATCATCAAGGTTTTAATAATTTCAAATGGGTGAAATTTGTTCTCAAAAAGTGTTGGTTTGACACCTTTATGAAATATTCTCCCAATTTATCATTATTTCCCAGAAATGCATCTCTTTTATGACCTATTTCAGATAGTGGACATGCTGTGGATATACTGCAAAATAAAAACTTGATAATGCAAGGATAAATCTTGACTGAAAAATAATAAAATTAAAGATAATTTTAGATGATTGAACTGGAATTAGCTCTGTTATGGACTAATTATTTATATCTGTTTTACCTTGACGCTGTCCAGTACTAATATCTTATGATAACTACTTTCGGCTGTTTTAATCTGTTGCCCTAGACTTCAAGGCTCCAGCAATGCATGACCTCTCTTATTTTGATAAGGTATCTTCTGGGCTGAGAGCCCTGTTATTGGTTAGGTGGTTACAGTTGTCGAACGGTGATTGGTTGTAAGCATGTCACATGATGTTATTATTGGCTGCTCTCCACTGACGAGGGCCAGTCACAACACGACAGACTTAGCTGATTGACCTCTGCTGTGTTGTTGCTCAGATTAAATCATTTGACGACCATACACGCAGACTTTCTGTGCATTTATTCCAATGTGTTTCTGCATTCTTGGTAAATCGTGCGACCACAGTTTTTTGGCGTTGTCGCAGAGACCACTAGGAGATCGACGGACCAAGGCCACATTGCAGGTGGACTGATGAGTGAGCAAGGACTGGACTGCTCAGGACCGTGTCTCCAGCTGGATGAAAAGAACCTTTTTATGGTAAATTGTTTTTAACAAGATTTGCTAACAACAGTCATTATTAGATATCACTTGTGTTTATCTTTGTGTTTTCCATTGACCTTGTATCAAAT